TCTCCCGCTGGCCGGACCCCTTCTCCTCTCGTCTCCCAACAGACCGCACAGCAGGAGTGTCCTTCCCTCTGTTTCTCATGCTGAATGTAGGCAGCATCCGGGTTGTGACTTCCATCTCACCCTGTAGCCTCATGGCACCCCAGTAGCCCGTCCAGCGGTCCTACTCTTCCAGGGGTGATAGAGAGCGGGCCCAGCAAACACCACTCTATCCAGCCATGTCTCTAACAAATTTGTTTTCCTGCCCTGTACAGACAGTGGGGGGTGGAACCGAACTATGTTATGGCTGTCAGTGCACGCTCCGGCCTCCGAGGCCAGTGTATCCAGTGTCCTGCATCCACATCCCAGTGCGGGTCAGCCATCGTGGTCTGGACAGAGCCGCCACTTAGTCAGTGTCCAGACCGCGGCCCGGCCTTTTGTGCAACCTGATGTATACCATGACAATGTTGTATATTTGACACCACTTGAATTTTAGACTTTCACAGTAAAACATGAACAGTGATATTACCACAAATTCAGACCACTGTAAATGATGTTACAATCCTAGAGATGAGGATAGGTCCGCAGAATTGTCATCTACATTTCACGGGTGAAGAATGGTTTTCTTTCAACCACATATACATTTACAGATTTGTTGGTGCTGAATTCTCTGTTTGCTTTTAGAGGTTTCTGTATAGGTATTTTGGCATTTACTATAACTGTAATTATGATTTTTTTTTTTTTTAATAAAACCCTAAAACGTGTTTGCTTCTGTTTTTAATTTTTTTATATACATATTTCACACAGTTCTGCCCTTTCCTCTTCAAGTAAAACGCCAGACAATTTTTTCTTTTTTTTCTTTTTTTTTTTCTTTCTTCAAAGTAAGGAAGAGTTGAGGCTCATTGAGAAATCATCCGCAAAAATAAAAACCTGATAAAGCTTCTTCCCTTTTCCTTTTCTGTTCAAAGCTGAAAAAGGTGCCACTGTAAATTCTGACTTTATAAATGTCATCACCCCCAACAATAAGTTTACATACAATATACACTTACATGTGTTAGTGTGTGCATGTGTATGAAGATGCAGAAGAGGGAATGGTCTGTTTCAATTAATTTGATAGGCCAGTGGCGCAGAAAAACATGGAAGGTGCCTTGAGACATTCTACTGCAGGCTGATCCTATACATAATGCTGACCTATTAATTTAAGGCATTTCAGAGATGCCGCACCCAGGGCGTCCCGAGGTCGGCTGACACCCCGCCGTGTCATCAGCGCGCATGCTCGTGACTTCACATCGTGCATGTGCGACCATCTGATTGATGCCTGCCGGCAGCCATGTTTGTGAAGGACGCAGGCAGAGAGAGGAGAGGACGTTCACCCGGCGGCATGTCATTTTGGTGTCACCTCTGCAATGGTGAGACTCGGGTGCGGGCAGCACCCCCCTTGTGACGCCACTGGCCGCACAATACAACCTATTCGGCGCCTGTACAGACGCTGTATTTAAACAGCAATCGTCCTGTTCGTGCAGCAGCAGCCGTGTTTGTGGTATAACCACTTCCAGCGGATGACGTGTGTTTACGTGAATCCTCTGGAAGTGGTTTTACAAAATTGGGGGGGAAACGGTGTACTCAAAGGGGAAAGGCAAAACTCTTGAAAGTCTGCCATAGATCTTGTGTTTATGTGATGGGTAATAAAATCTCCATTTACATTTATACTTACCTGATGTAAAAGTAATCAGTTAATCTAAGGGCTTGTGTGAACAGGACATGGGACACATGACCAGCTTAAAGCAAGTCAACTGCAGGTCAAATGTACCTGTCAATAAATTCTGAATCCCGATCCATGAATATGATCTCGGGAGTCTCAAACTAATGTCAAATGCATGCTCATCGACACAAGCCCTTGCTCAATTTAAAGACCCGCTATTAAGCCCCATTCGTATTGCAACACAAGCAAAATAAAGATAAAACAAAACTAAAGATTATTTATTATGTACCATTCGTATTTATTAATCGGATGAACCAAAGCAAAATAAGAACATTTATATAAACAAACATTCAGCTTATTACAAATTTAGGAGAAGATTGGATTTAAATCAAATGCGGTAACCTAGAACTTTCCAGTGATTCTTGAAATACAAATCCCAGCATCCAATACCAGCCTTCATCATACCTGCAGACAGTTTTTGGACTACAGGGTATATTGTGACTTGTAGTTGCCCAACAGTTTGCAAGCCCCAGATTCATATGAGCATTATCTCCTATATGTTGAAGCGGACCTTTATCCATATCTTTAAAATAACAACAAACACACCTTTAGAAATGATTAGTCATGGCAATCTACAAACACATATTTGTAGATAATTGTAGGCTTTGTATTCTTTGCATGCATTATTTCTCTGTTCTTCCCCAGTCTTCTAGCAGTGGCCATGTTTACTAAGGGCAGATTACTAGCGTTCCTATTGCTTCCTGAATTTCTGGCACATGTGACTATACATGTGACCATGAACATTATCTCAGGGGAGAAAAATGCCTTTCCCTGAGTTATCTTGAGATTTCCCAGCAATGCTCTGCTGATGACAAGGCAATCCCAGTGTGCATTGCTTTGCCAAACTAAAGTAATTTGCACTTTCAAAGCAGGAAGTGAATGCTCTGCAAGTGTAAGTATTTCAAAATCACAGCATTTTACACCTGACATGTCCTATGTTTTTATTAATCATCATACATAGAGGGATGCATTGGTAGAATTTGATTTTTGAGTGTAAAGGTCCGCTTTAAGCATGTAGATGGCAAAAACATTTTGTTATGAAACATTACAATGCTTGTGTAGTCTATATTAATCTCATTACAACCACAGCAGAAGTGGTCAAGCGCAAACAAAAAGCAATCAATGTTCTTGTATAAACCACACATTCTACCACTGTGATGTACCAACAGCCTTATTATTTGGCAAATCACTGCATCATGTTCTCTAAATTCCTATACACAAAATGCAACAGTATTGAAAAAAAGCAGGCCTAGAATGGTCAAATCCTCACAGCTAGGTGGTTGTTGTACCACAGTTGGTCCCTCACTCTTTTTAGTCCATGTAGCATATGTTTAATGGCTACAGTAAATTTCAAGAGCACTTTGGTGCTTAAGATTGGGCATACTGGCTCCTGAACTTAACTAAACGTAACTAAATTAATTTTTTGTTTTATGACCACTGTGACTCACGGCCTTACCGTGAGTCACAGTGCTCATAAGACCAAAAAGTAAACCTATGATGAGTGAAATGCAGAGGGTACTACTGCTGTTGTTAAAAAAAAAAAAAGTTAGTTTCTAGAGGTTCTGGATCATGGGCCTTAATACTTGTCACTGAGCTGGGTATGAATATTCAGATCAGGGAAGTCAGCTGAACAGAAGTTATTTTCTGCATAAATCCTGACACAAACACATTTAGCCATGCAAACGTGCTTGTTTTGGGTCAAGGGGCCAGGTTTATGTGTGCATACTCTCAAGGCCAATGGTTGACAAATAAGGGAGCCTCAGCTGCAGCCCCTTAGGCCTTGTTCACACCAAATGCAGACCAGATACGGTCAGGTTTCTGCACACGCAGTGTAGTGGGTTGTGCCGCGTTTCAGATGCGCTTTTGGCCGGTTTTGGTTTTTTAACTTTAACATGGACTTTCAGGCACTTGCATGCGTTTTTGCGTTTTAGATGCGTTCCAGACCAGATCCAGAGCAGGTAAAATAGGGCTTGCCGCATTTTTTTCATCCGGTCTGGATCTGGTTTGGATCCGCATGCTGCGATGTGAACTGGAGGTCAAAATACCATAGGAATACATTGGACGCAGTTTTGATCCGGTCTGCACCTGCTCTGGTCCGGATCTGCTCCACGCTTGGTGTGAACAAGCCCTAAATGTACCAAAGGGGTGAGCATAATATTTAGTATATCTAGTGCTACAGAAGGCTGTCAGAGACTGCAGACAGGTGTTGTGGACTGGTACTCCGAAGCAGATGACGGGACATTTTTCCCCAGACTGCAAGAGATGACTTCTATTATAGTCCATTTGCAAATGTATGTTCCCACTCTTATTACTAAGGTCTACAAAGGGCCATATGTGGCCCTCAAGCCCCAGGTTGCACATCAGCGCTCCTAAAGTTTGCTATACAGCTATCTTTTTGTATGTCTAAACAGTAATTCCTGTGCCTGATACAGAATGCTGGTATAATGTAGATCACTTTCTTTGTGCCCATTCATGAGACACGATAGCTTATTTCACTTCAGAATATAGGCTGCCTAGATGTGATGGGTTTCTACATCCCGCTTTTCAATTAAGAACATCTATAGCAAGAAAAATAGATACTGACACCACCGGATATGTCCCTTGCCGCTCTGCTCTGAGGACTCGATTTCTTGCGTAAACCTTTCTGCTGGAACGAGCGTAGATTCAGTGCAGTGACCCCATTTATTCTACCTCATTTGCCTTCAGTAAAATCCATTCTAAATTATCCCGCAGTCATAAACTACATTTAAGCTTTCACTTACCAACTGTCCTTTTGCCAGGGCAGGTTTGAACCTGATTGGTGCATGTGAAGCAACTCAGAAAATGTCTTCCATAAAGTGAACTTGTCATGGCTTAAAAAGTGTCTACACTAACAGGGCTGATAGAGTGTAGCACATCTTTTAATCTTGGTATCAATTCCAGTGGCCTTGTGAGCCCTTTTAGATTCCATTCCAGTCTAAGTACAGTCTCAAGTTAACACTAAGCCAATAAACTGTGAAACAGAAGAGCCTCAGTAACATCTGGAAGCTATGGGATTTGACATGATTGGCAAGTGTCAGCCTTGACAAAAGTCAGCCTGAAATGAGAGGGGTCTCCACGGGCATGCAGGTATCAATGAGACCCAGCTATGACTACTTCCATACTGCATCTAGTTACTTCTGAATAGGAGCCACATTATGTACAAGAACACACTATACCAAAAGTACATCCTGTGCACATGAACATGTCAGAAACCACTACCGCTATGTGTGAATGGAGCCTAAGTGTGTAATCCCCCATCATACAAAACTGGAAGCATTACCGAACAGTGTTGCATTTATATCAATAAATTAAGACTGTTAACATCAAAACAGCAAGGTTTTCCTCTCGCTAATATATATATAAAATAATCTACATAAACAAGTGACAGAGATCAGAAGACCTCAAATTCTAAATTCTTACATGTAAAAGAAAGGAAGTTAATATAACTTAAATATCATTTGTGTTATGGTTCCCTATCTTGTGCATTTCTATTTTGTGAATAGGGGAATGAAAGGAATTCTCAACTCTATACTGTAACAAACTTACTGAGTAATGGTAACTTATGCATTTTGATATGAGTATTCTGCCCATTAAAAGATACTGTTTCTAATAATTAAAAATGAAGTATGTGATATGGATATAGCAGAGGCCTTGGCATTTAGATCAGATCAGGGATATACATCGAGGATGCGTGAAAGCCTTCTCGTGCCTTCCCAAAGCAGGATAGGATCATATTGAGGGCGGTGTTAACAGTCAGCATAGATTCCCTCTCCGTTTCACCACGCGATGGGTTGACCTCCATCATATCCACTGCAGAAAGTAAGCCTAAACCAGGTAATGGTAAAATGTGTTAGGAAATGCCATAATAAACCAACACAATAATAAAATTAGCTGCTTTGTGAAACCTTACTGTATAAACATAAAGAGTTAAGGGAAATGGACATATTCCCACAGAAAACAGGCAGAATCCAATTGTTCTCTGAAAGTTTGGGATCCCCTGCTGAAATTACGTGTTGTTGACTTTCTAAGCGAAAAGACGTTAACACAACCTCTGCAGGGAACACACATGTGCTGATTGTAATGCACATTTACTGTTTGCCGGCTGAATGGAAAGAACTGTGGCACATGCAACACAATGCAAAACACAATTACCAGTCAATCTTCTCGTAGTGTTTAAAGCTCCAAGTATTTAAAATGACTCATTGGGCCTTAATCTAATTTCGGTAAAGACAGCCTAAAGCTAAACTCCAGGCAAGCCCCTAAATACACAGATGAAATACATCAATTGGAGCTGTATTACCTGCCAAAAGGATTTGTTTTTCTGTCCATCCAGTTTTGAAATGTACACAGTTCTGATACACACCACAGCCCTCTCTGGTAGTGGAGGAGACCTGTTTTTTTTCTCTGCTGAGCTAACACTAACAGGTCTTGGCCCTCTCCCTGTATGTGAGTGGACATTGTAGCAAAAGCAACAGAATGATGAGCACATGTCCCAGTCACTCTATTCTATCCTCCTGTCAGCATGATCCTTGTTAGCACATGAACAATGCAGCACAGCTGACAGGCTCCACCCCTTCCCTTCCATCTCTTAGTCTGAGCTCTGCTATACAGGTACTTCTTGCATTTAACAATTATTATTATTATTTTTATACAGGATTTATATAGTGCTAACAGTTTGCACAGCGCTTTACAATCTGTGAGGTAATCATGTTAACAGTAGTAACAAAACCTGTGGTTATCTAGGTGTGTGATATCTTGGTTAATCCTCAACAAGCCCTATATCAGGCCCCTGCAATATACAGGACCAAGACTTCTGAGAAACCTGGAGCTCATCCCTTTCCCTGCTATTGAACAGTATCAACAGCTACTAGAGTCTTACACAGTGGACCATTGATTGAGAATGAATTCACACAAGCTTCAGGTCTGATAATACTAAAACCAAGAACTAGAGGTTTTGCAAGGAGGAGTGGAAAGAATTTAGAAGCAAGACTTGAAGGACTACTGACTGGAGAGAAGAACATTAGATACAACACATTGGTAGTGTAGTGTGACTGTTAGAGGAATAATCATTTACCTGTATTGTAAAGCTGCTCTGTAATGTACATGCCCTCTCTGTAGGTGAGGCCTCCAGGAACAGGTGTGCCAGTAGCAGGCGCAACACTAGGATCTAGACCATCTATGTCAAAGCTTAAGTGGATGGGTCTTTTCTTCCTTCAAATAATACAAAATATAAAACATCATACATAGGCTTACACAATAGTCATATTCATGGTATTTACAGTGAAGAAAAATACTAATACAGAATCTAGCTTTTCTCTAAGGCAGAATGTTCCTTAGCGTACACCTGTCATAAAAATGATGGGCGTTGCCATTTTTTACCTAACTTCATGAGAATGCTAGTTCCCTGGTTGCCATACTCATGGATTAGTTTCAATGATTTCTAAATAACTGAGAACAAGGAAAGAGATAAGGAATCCTCTGAATTCTCTGACATTCATTTACAGCATGTTTGTTCCAGGTCAGTGACTTAAAAGTGTTAAACCAGAAACAGCAGGAGAGGGCCAGCTATAGCAGTTTCAACACTTCTCATATTCCTAGAGAGGGTTTTTTTCCAGCATGATCTCTTCAAAATCAATGATGGCAACATTATACCAATAAACGTATAACAGATCCAGCAGGACAGGGCCAGCGATAGCAGCTCCAATACTTCTCTAATGACAGGCGGACTTAGTACACCAATAGGTTATCTCTTCGTCAGGTAAACAAATGTATGTCAGTGATCCTGTAATCCACATATTTCTACAGAGGGACTTTTGCTCAGTATAATCTCTTCAAATCAATGATGACAATGATGATATTGTTGAGGCTTATGTAACAACCTCATAGGTATCTAGGTGCTTCGTAAACATTTCAATTTCTAAAGTCAGTCCCCAAATTAAAAAATGACAGTCCTGTAATACTATATATTTGTCTATGGAATAATTGCTAGAGTGTTTAATGTTCATTGTGGGAATTACAGAATATACTAAATTTAAGATAAAGTAATCACAAGAAGCAAAGCTTTCATTCCATTTCATAATGCATGCAGTGTCTGTCATTGGAATTATAACAGGAAGTGAGCTGTATGAAAAGATGTACAGTAATACCTTGGTTTACAAGTAACTTGGTTTGAGAGTGTTTTGCAAGACGAGCAAACATTTCTGAAAAATGTTGCCTTGATATACAAGCGATGTCTTGCAATAAGAGCAAAATGTTTTAGGGAAGCACCACCCGAATAAGGCTGTAGCAGTGCAAGCGATGAGTCTGTTTAACAACAAAGCAATGTCACATTGGATAGATTCCTTGTTAAGGTTTCACTACATGAAAAAGATTCCAATGAGTCAAGAGATAGCAGTGATTCTGTTAGTGATAGTGAAAGTTGTCCTACACAATAATCCTCCTCTCTCTTGTATCCCTCACACCAGCCACGAAGGTATCAGTAATTGGTTTATTTTTATTTTGTACAGTATTATATTACAGTACAGTATTGTAATCATTGTTATATGAATATTTTTGGGTTGTGGAACGAATCATCTGAATTTCCATTATTTCCTATGGGGAAATTCGCTTTGATGTACAAGCGCTTTGAATTACAAGCATGCCTCCAGAACGAATTATGCTCGTAAACCAAGGTATTACTGTATATAGAAGTCAGAAAAAAATCCACTCTGAGATGAGCCAATGGACTTTGAAAACATTTTGTCTAGACAATTTGAGGTGCTCTTTGTTCACACTCATGGGGTTACCATGGGTACTGTAATTGATCACAATGTGGCCTATGCTTGTACTAATCTTACCCTACTTGATGAATATTGTGTTTTAAATGTGTCTTTATTGCCCTGCCTATTGATGCTGCATATCTAATATCTTATGTGACTTTATTTTATCCTGTATTGTATTTTCCTATGAAACTATTGCAAATATTGCAATGGAAAATGTTCTGTCTAGTTCACACAAGCTTTAGTTCTTGGGTGGGTAATACTGAAACCAAGAACTAGTGGTCATAAATATGCAGCTTCAGAACTATATACTGCACGTATTCATGGATTTCAGTATAGAATTATGATGCATGCTCAGATTTTACTATGCTTCGTTTAATCCGTTTTCCATGTTGTACAGGGCACTTCTAGACCTGGGGACAACAACAATACACTGACTTATAAATTGGTGGCTGTATTAGAACACCATAACATAGAATTATGTAAATCTATCACCATTGTTTTCATGTTTTATTTAACCATTAGAATAGGTCATTCCACACATACCTTAGTGATATAAAATTAAATATACTGTGGGCAATACATATCCTCCATCATACCCGCTCCAGAAGGCACAAAGCACTATGCTCCTGATCACTGAATACATCTTTAGGAATAAACATTATACATACATATATATATATATATATATACACACACACACACATACATACTGTACATACTGTATATTTGTCGTTTTTTTGGAGCTAAAAGGTCAAGCTGAAATTTTTGCACACTCACAGCTTAATGAGTCAGAGCACCTCACCACTACCTGCCTGACCATTCAGAGGGGGCTGTTTGGTATTTTAAAACAGAACTACCCCCTCCAATCTTTTACAGCCAGGAAAGGTAACATCTCGGCCTCTATTTGGATTACAGTTGCCACACATGTGATTGGCTATGACTCCAGCCATTTGGGATCTTGAAAGTTCAACTGAGAGCTGAAATAAATACACTGGCAACCTTGACAGTTGCCATGTCTTAAAAGTAACTGTTTTGGGAGAGATTAAATTGGCAGTCACGTTTCGCTTTAAGAAAAGAGATACAGTCTGAAAGTAAACAGCCTTGTACAGTCTGAAAGTAAACAGAAGTGCTGCCTCCTTACCAGTATCTGTCTAGTGGGACTGAGGCATACTAGGGATTTATTTTCCTATTACTTGAAGTGGAAGCTAAGCTATTTTTGTATGTGCTTTGTAAATGCTTGTTCAATGTGAGGTTAGCAAAGGTTAAAAATGTCTATGTGCTCAACGCTTTTAACAGCTAAATCATTTCTGTATTTTTTTTTTTATTTGCTCAGGTCATATGGTTACAAACTTGTAAAGGCTTTAGAAAACCTATAATTATAACACTTTTAAAGCTTTTAGTGTATCCTGCTGCAATTATGTGGCTGAAAAAATAATTATATAGAGTAATTCCTGTTTATTTCAAGTTATAACTCTGAAGTAGACATAAGGTGACATTTTTGTTTCTGTACCCAATACTCTAATGTCCACACTAAAGTCAGTAACTACAAGATGAAACATACCACACTACCATATAAGCAAATGTATGTCTAATCTAGATAAGCATGTTGCAATAGCTGTAACTTTAAAGAAAAACAAAGGCAGAATATTTAGATGTTCCTACATTTTCCGGATACATCAGTTTTAAGAGTAATGTATTACTCTCACCCTATTTGTCACAGCATATCTGTTTTACAAGAGATCACAAGCATCATATTTAATTACATGATAAACCTGATACACCCGAGAGTCATCTAAAACAGTGTGGCTGGACCACATGGGAGATTTTTGACTGTGTCATTAGAATCAGGAATAATGATTACAAGTACTGTATGTACTACTATTTGCGAATCTGCAATCTCTGACATGAGGTTAATTTTGGGGGGTGTAAGGAAAAGAAAAAAGTCTAACAGTCTCTTGGATTCATGGGTAAGGAGGACATGAACTGTGGAACCTGTATCCAAAAATACAAGCAGAGAGCAAATGACCAGTCACCAGTGTTGCCAGTAGAACCCCTGCAATGAAACCTTTTCACATTACTGACTTTCCATGCCTTGATTCTGACTGTGGAAGGAGACATTTTGATAAAAACAGGGCCTTGCTCAGGTCAGATCTAATTATTGGTGGTGTAATGATCAAAAAGCAGCAGCAATGATGGAGCTAGAAGAGAGCTACAGAACGAATAAAGCAGAAGAAGAGAGATGCATGCACTGCAACTCTTCATGTACAGCTTCCTCTCCAGGAGAACAGCAAGCAACACAGTAGTGACATCTTCAGATCTTGTGAGACTTGTAGCCATAGGCACACTGCCTTAGATGATCTTACACTGTTGCTACAGTAAACAAGGCTCAAAGCACAAGCGTGCCTATGAACAAAAAGTGCACTGCTATTTTTTAGGAGAATTCAAGGGAAAGGGTAGATTTGGGGCGCTACACAGACACAATTAACATTTATAGATGTTCCCTAAAAGATAGCAAATCTTCACGTTTTGAGTTCTGTGCTACTTTATTTTTAAGGCCTCAGCTGGTTGCAGATGGTAGATAGTAGTGATGTTTTTAAACAATATGACCACAGTACCTTTTTTTTTATAACAGAGGTGCACACAACATTCAAAAGTCGGTATATAGCAGATACTATGATAATACAGACTGAGAGGCAGGCTGATATACTTTTCCCCCTTAAGATCTTTAAGCTGAGGGTAGCCACTTAGATTTATAGCCACCATATAATTTTCAAATCCTATTAATGTTAACAAGGTTGAGTTATCTAATATATCGAGTTACAGTGGTTTAAGAGTCATATGTGACCTTTAGCTAACTTTTGCTGTTATTTGAGGTGGATTCTTAGAGATTGTTCAGTTCATGTCCATTTAATATTGCACAGTTCTCATGTGCACAATGCAAATATGATTTGAAAATATACAAATAATATAATAATATGTGCTCATATAACCCCAAAAACATCCCGCTATATCAATCAACTTCTAATAACCTAAACAGCTGCTGTGTAAACACTCAAAACTCATTGGGGGTCTTCATAATACTAATTTATATGATTCATTAAAATGTTGGTAAATATTGTTTTGGGTGTTTATCTATACGTACTTTCCAACTAAATATTCAAGAGTTTCTTCCATCACTTTATTTATTGTGAGTCTGTCCACGTCTGACATTGAATAGCTCTTAATCCCAAGAGTCTTCAGAATAAAACTGCAAGAAAAAAATGTATTTGTTGAATATAATGTATATACACATAAAATGAAAATAGATAGGCTGGGGACTTTCATTGTCTGGCTCCTATCCCACTTATATTGTCATTGATAAAATGAGGGAGGGTATTGAAAAAACATCTGGAGAGAAGTGAATCACATTGAGGCCAGTCAGAATTGGGTTTAAGCTACAGAAAGATCTAGGATCAGATTACATGCACCCAGTTTATTCTATGGTTAGCTGTTATTGACAGCACTTTTGTAAAATTCAATATATTGTGTAGAAATTTTTGTTGTTTTTTTGTAATTTTCCTACATGGTTTGTGCATTCTATTTAGGTACACCTGGTATTATAGTAATGCTCACTACTAATAATGCAAGTTAAATTGTGTATTCAGCCATAACCTGTTTAGAGCAAGTCAGTGCTCCCATTATGTATATACCTTTAATACGGCTGGATGGGATTTTTTTGTTTTTATAAAGAACCAAAAGCTCAGGGCTGTACTGTATATAGTATATTAAAAATGTTACGTAGAGAGACAAGATGAACTTATCCTAATAGTGTCTACAATTTAAAAAAAGGTTCACTGTATCATAGTGAATGCAACTCAAAAGAGAAAGCTTCTGAATGGACTTACTGTTCTCCGGGGTCTACGTCTCTCAGTCCAATGTATACTATGTCTTTAGCAGACAGGCATGGCTTCACCCAAGAGAATCCTGGGATATCTGGCACCTAAGAAACAAAATTAATAAGACAAAAAACTTGGTTAAAGTCTTTTACAAAGGTAAACCACAGAATTATAGGACACAATTTAGTAGGAGTGTAAGATAACAAGTACATTACAGAACAGACAGGTGTTAACCCCTCTGATGTCACTGAATACTAAAATGTATCAATGGAGATAGGGTGTTGTTCCTAAGCTAGGCATAAGAAAGGTTTCACCCGAAAAGAATCCAAACTCCAGCGCTACGTGAACTTGCGTCTAAACGTTTCAGTTGAGAAGGGAGAGTGGTTACCATTAGAGGGTGGGGATAGAGTGGCCCTGAGGTACCCCATACCCTGGTGTGTGTTTTAAAATAAACATTATATAAGAAGATATAAAGTGGAAAGAAGGGTGACTTAGAGGGTGGCTAAACTAAAGAGTATGAAAAAGGGATATGGTTAGGGAAAGTAGGCATAAGGAACAAATTCGTTTTTAGAGGTGAACATCTATGATTACTTAATTAGCACATCATTCACATTATAATTATTATTATTGTTATTATGCTTGTAAGCTTAAATTACCAACATTCTTTTCAATCCATGTAAATGTATTTTCCAGTTACAAACAGAACCAGTTTAAGTAAATGATCCCTGCCACAATTGTTTGTTGTCTGTTTGCTTGGATACATTGCAAATAATCAGAAGAGTATTGCACAACGTGGAACCTATATGAAAAGAACTTCAATGGAAAATTGCCCATAGCAACCGATTAGCTATCACCTTTCACCAGCTGGATTTGAAGTGCTGTTAACCTATTATTCCCAATGAAAAGGCAAATAGACCTTATACGTGAGTTGTGGTATGTATCTAATAAAATAGAGCCTGGGTTTCTTTCTAGGAACTGACCCCATTTTGTAGTAGAAATGTTATCACTGCTGTTATCTATTTTTATGTTTAACAGCTAATATGCATGTGATTACGAAGAAAATTAGCAGTGCGTACTGAAAGCCTTGGTTTACCTTGTTTTGTAGCTCTTTTATTAGGAAAGAGACAGGTTGTCCATGTAGATTGCCACTGGGTGATGTCATTGGAGTGTTGATATCTGCATGGGCATCCACCCAAACTACACACAGATCAGGGTGAACCTTAGCGTGACCTGCAATGGTCCCAACTGCCAAGCTGCAACAGCACAAACAAAGAATAAGGGTAAACAAAAAGAATGTCACAACAGATTGACTTGGGACATCTTGTCCGCAGGCTTTTATAATTCTTTCCTTAGAACATTGTGTTACAACTGAAATGTCTCATTAGCACGCAGCATGGGGCAAACCAAACTAATTGAAGGCTTTTCTGAGAAGAAGCTGTAGGGATGGGCCAAAACTATTTAACGCATCTGATTGCTATTTCCACATAGATCAGGGTCTGGTGAACTAGATGCAAACTACATATGAGTATTGTCTCCAAGTTCAGCTACTGTCATCATATCTGTGCCATCCAAATGTTCCATTAAAAGTATAAGTGCAGTTTTTTTTAAACTATTAAATTTGCAGGCATCTCCAGCAATATGCTTTGGTTTACTGTATTCAGGCCCCATTTACACTATCACATTGTAGTAACCTTCATTTCTCTTACTGCAACAGTGTCATTTTAGAATCATACCCTAGAGCAGCACAATGCACTTCTGTTGCAGCAGACCACAACACACAGATGTGAAAACAGGTTGGGACTTGGGGTTAAAGGATTTTATTTGCAGATTTCTTTTAAATATAATCACCTGTGATCTCCACCAATCGTCAAGCAAACTCTTCCACTTTTCTTGACTTCTGAAACAGCATTAGCAACTGTTTCTGTAGCTTGCCCAACTGTGCGTGGATTCTTCACATTCTGGAAAGGTTCGTCATGGGGCAGCTCAGGAAAAGGCAGATCACTGTAATCTTTCACATCATATTCTGCAAAAAAGTAAATAATAACCTTGTAATTTAGAATGTATTGCACAACTAAAATAATCAGTAAAATATGGAACATTGTGGTGTCAACACCTAGTATTTCTTGTATAGGTTTAAAGGTCAACTTCACTTTTAATCCTTTCACCCGTTTGAGTGGCAACCACAAAAAATTTACTTTCAGCCCTGCTCCTGACTTCTTCACTGTGTTGCCCTGCCTGATACCACACATCCTTTGCAGAAAGGGGCCTTGTCCATGCCAAGCAACTACTGCACATGCATGCCGCTTTTCCCATTCATTCCTATAGCTGTAGGCAAAGTCCTCTGGATGGCTGGGGTCCTGCAGGGGTATGAAGGCTGGGGTCCTCCAGGGGTATAGACCAGCCATAGAAATCCTGCTACTAAAATTGCTAACTTTTTTACCCTGTGATAAAAAACGACCTGCTTCCCTCTGCAATGGACTTCCTCCCTCTTTGCTGCCAGACTATTTGCCAAATACCTGCCAGCCTCTTAGTCATCCTGCACATTGTTGTATTTGTAAGCAAAAATATATATACAGTATATATAATATATATCTATATATATACACACTGTATATACACTGTATATACAGTATAATGTAAATTTGTGTTATTTTTCATTCCTGTCATTGCTTTCACTTTGCGCTCTAGTAACTGTTGCTAGTGCTACCATACTTTACCACCCCAAAAAAAATAATTTCCAGCCTGGGTGGGGGCTTCACTAAACAGTCCCCCAAATGTAGACTGGCTTTAATTACAAAATAAAAATAAATCTGTCTTGCAGTGTCCCGTTAGTGGCAAATGCAAGCCTGCACTCACAATATTTTTTACTTTTTTTCTTCATAGTAATTTATTTTTCCAATGCATGATTCTAAGTCCAGAAAAGTGCAAAATGTTGGTTAATGAAAACAACCACGGCCAGCATACCAATTCCCAGGGGGGAAAAAACAAAACATTCACACCTCATGACACCTCAAGTTGTTGATTTGGGGATTGGCATAGTGAATATCTGGTGGAAAGTCAATTTTAGGTCCAATGTATTTGAACTGGAGGCAGAGAGAAGGTTGATTGTTTTCACCTATCACACTTCTTGAAAGTAGAAATTTACAGGTTCCAAACATTTAATAGTAGATTAACAGAACTTCTTTCAGTTTTTGGATGGGTAGTAAATAAAATAAAAGTAGTTATACATTTAGGATATGGAGTTTTAGCATATGATGCATGCTTCCACCTTAAGAAACATAGCTACATTTTTGTATGGGGTAGCATGTTTTATCTGATGTAATGTTTACCTATATGTGCAAACACATATTTTTCCATCTAAGGTGAAATTTGATAAGCCTGAACAGAAAATGTATTTAATATTCCAGAAACAGTAACCTACCTGATAAGCGATGCAAGTGATCAAAGACGACTGCAAACAATTTACAAGTGTTGGCAGCTTTTCCCTGCATTTTCACCTACTGCGATTAGCAATAATGCAATGAGGCTCATTTACTTACTTTATTGTGTGAACATTGTCGATTCCTTTAGTAAGGCAGACTCAACAGCAAAAGCCACTAGCTAGTATGTTAAAGACAGCAAATTTTGTATATTTGTACTAATCATATTGCTCTTTTTCAAATATCATGGAGATTAGGAATTTATGTTTTCAATAAAACATGTTCACAGTCACGTAAAGCTATATGTGTCATAGAAATCTTGAAACTTGGGAACTTTCACAATAATCAAGCCAAAAAGGAAAAGGATTACTACATGCCCGTTCCAACAATAAAAGTGTCATAGGTTTATATCAGTGAATCACTATTGCCTATTACAGGCAGTGAGCTAAAGCTGACAGTTTTGCCAACCGGTAGGAGACGTAGGTTCTAATACGTAGTTTCAAAGAACAGTAATGCAATAGTTGTGACTAATATCGGTCAGAGCAAAACACAAAATATTGTGTACATTGTGGTTAAAACCTGCGTTACAAGATGTGACCAGAACTGAAAGTGTGTAGGCAGCCTTAACAAACTGACCTCATACAGATTTTTATATATGATTTGTAAGGTCAGCAACATTGACTCAAAACTGTGCAATTTAATACATTTAGGGTAGTTTTAAGGTTATGAAACTTCAACAACTTCCAGTAATATCCAGTATTAGTGTTAAACAGCATTAACTTTAGGTCATACACATGAACTGAATCTTACTTGGAAGTCAATCAATAAAGCCACAGCCACACATCAAAAAAAAAAATAGTATATTACAGCTTACCAATCCTTAGATATGGCAGCTGCATTAGTTTTCTTTTTCCTCTATTTTTACCTTGTGATCCTGGCAAGAATACACCTCCTGTCTTAGGGTGGCAATGCACCCTCACTGTATCTGTGTAGGAGCAGCATTGTCACCTTAGGGGGCTACCCTCCTTTAGATGGTGTTTATATAGCACTGCCAATTTATGCAGCACCTTTACACAGAGCACACTCACATCAGTCCCTGCCCTCAAGCCGCTTACAATATAAAGTCCCTATCTAACATGTGTACATGCAAGCACAATTTCAGAGAAGAGCCAATTAACCTGCCAGCATGTCTTTGGAGTGTGGGAGGAAACCGGAGTACCTGGAGTAAACCCATGCAAGCACAGGGAGAACATGCAAAATCCTTGCAGATAGTGTCCTGACCGGGATATGACCCAGGGACCCTGAGTGCTAAGGAATGGTTAGTTGCAATTTATTAAATCTTTGTTCTTGGGTTTATATACTTTAAGCCAGCCTTTTTCAACATTTGTATCACAATGGAACCCCTAAAATAATATTCAGGTCTCCGAGAACCCTTGCCAATAATTATTTCATATAGTTAGACCATACAGTACATTAGTGCAATCAGTCACTTGTAGATATAATAACTAAAAGAATAAGGAATTTGATGTACTCCTCTCTCTATACGAGAAAATAAATAAAACATTAAAATCATATAAAAATGACCAGACAAGAAACTTTAATTTTACATTGGTGGTCAGTAAAGAAATATGCATTTACATTCATAGTCAGAGTAGTGTCACCTTACTTTGGTGGTCGTTGGGAGAAGAAACCCTTTCTATTTTGCTGGTTGTTGGGAGAACCCCTTATTGTGTTGGTGATTATTGGGAGAAGAGCACCTTCTTATTTTGATGGCCATCGGAAGAAGAAACCCTTCTTATTTTGGTTGATGATGGGAGAAGAACCCCTTCTTATTTTGGTGGTCATTATGAGATGAACCCCTTCTTATTTTGGTGGTCATTGGAGGAAGACCCTCTTCTTGTTTTGGTGGTCATTGGAAGAACTACTTCTTGTTTTGGTGGTCATTGGGAGAAGAACCCCTTCATTTTTTGGTGATTATTGGGACAAGAACCCCTTCTTAATTTGGTGGTCATTTGGAGAAGAATCCCTTCTTATTTTGGTGATTATTGGGAGAAGAACCCCTTCTTAATTTGGTGATCATTGAGAAAAGAGCTCTCTTACAGACAGCTAAAAATATCATTAGTGTCAGTGATTACTTACCTGAGAGAAGAGAGGAGAGACTCTACTGGTCCCATGCTGCTGGCTCTGCCAAGTGACTTACAGGGGGCAACAATGTTGGCACCTAAAGGCAGGAAATCAATTTTCCACTGCTGATTGCTCAAGGAACTGCTCAATCTCTGGAGGAACCCTACGTTTCTACACAAACTCTGGTTGAGAAAGGCTGCTTTAAAAAGATATAATAAGAATACTGAAGACCTCCCGTGTGTGTTTGTGTGTGTATACCACATGCAGCAAAATTAAAATTGGTAAGCAGCTCAACCAGTTAATATAGCAAGGGAATTGCATAGGGTGACTCAAAATTCCCCAGCTCTTAGCTCATTAGCCCCTTGCCTGGAAAAAAAATATTTGTCAAAACAATTATCTATACAATGATATGTAAAAAGGCGGCTTGTGTACATAATAGAAATGAGCTGTTTGCATCTGCAAGTTTTAGCCATATATAGTTTAACATTTTAAATGAAACACAAAAAGAGAGAAAACACAGATTGTTTTTTTAAATATTGTCAATATCTTACCAAGTTCTTCCAATTTTTCAATTAAACCTGCTCTTCTTATGTAAATTGGGCCTTCTTCTACACCACCTCTGGACTGTTGAAGAAAAATAGATGTTTTAAAATAATGATAACATTATATTCATCAAACATGTATGATTGACCTTTATAATTACATATTTCTTCACCACAATAATATTCAGGCTTTATTTTGTTAAATAATAACTTATGCATATTACTAAATTTAAAAAACATGCATATCCTATTATGAAAGCACATTGCCATGGTAGAAAGTACAGAAGAGGTAGAGTGATTTGCTAACAGATGTGGCACCTGATAAAGTAAAGATGGCTATACGCACTGCAAATTTCATCATGTTCTTAAAAAACCAGCCAAAATTTGCACAGTGGATGCTCCTGTCAGCACCCTTTTTCCCGGAATCGCTCAATTAGCTGATCGAAGGAGCAGGTTGGAAAATTCTCAGCCGTTTGGAGCTTGCAGCTGATTGGCTGGCTGCTGCTGTCAGATTACAATGGAAACAGCGGGTGATTCTTCAAGACAGAGGAATCTGTTATATTTTCTTTGTTCAGCCTGCAGGTTGAATAAAGAAAATAGAACCTTGTATACCCAGCATTAGTATGGCATCCAGGGGTTATGTAATGTTGGGCATTAGGCTCAGATTAAGGTTAAGGTTACGGTCAGGGGTCAAATTAAGTGTTAGGCATAAGGTAAGGGTTTTAGGAATATTTTCAAGTTAAGTTTATGATAGGTTACCTATTAAGGTTTGGTGTTAGGGTTTAGTTAATTATAAGTCTGTAGTGTTTAAGTATTAGGGTTCAGGTAAGGGTCTGGCTAACCAATATGTTTGAGGTTATGTTTAAGGCCAGAGATGTTTTGGTACACAGTTTATTTTTTTACGTGTTTTATAGGCTGCAAGCCCTGCAATGAGAACTACTGCACAGGGAAATTAAATGCACCAAAGTTTTTTTGGATTACAGTTTATCTGTGTATAGGATCACAGCTAAAGAAGGATTTGAATACATATATATACTATATATATGTGTATATATATAGTATATATATGTATTCAAATCCTTCTTCACCTGTGATCCTACAGGTGAAACTCGAATAATTAGAATATTGTGCAAAAGTAATTGCAGTAAGTGCTGCAAAAGGGGCCCAAACCAAGTACTGAGTACATATGCATGCTTGTACTTTTCAGAGGTCCGATATTGTTCTATGTACAATCCTTGTTTTATTGATTGCATGTAATATTCTAATTTTCTGAGATTGTGGATTTGGGGTTCTTGGGGTTTTCATGAGCTGTAAGCCATAATCATCACAATTATGACAAATCACGGCTTGAATTATCTTGCTTTGCATGTAATGAGTCTATCTCATATATTAGTTTCACCTTTTAAGTTGCATTAGTGAAATAAATGAACTTTGCACGATATTCTAATTATTCAAGTTTCACCTGTATACTTGTTTTATAGGAGATTTCAATTTGGGCTATTAAAATGGCTATTATTGCCTTATTGGCTTACTCCAACCATTTTCTTTTCTGTTTACTGCACTGTACTGCAGTGCATTGGTGGCACAAGGAAGCACACAATGGTGTACTCATCCCTTATATCTGTCTAGTTTTATGCATTATTTAATAATAATTAATTAGGAAACAAGTAGATATTGATTATCACTACAGTTATTTACCTACATTTTGTGTATCTTTTCACAGTTCACAGATGCATATTTCGGATGAGGGGTTTATTTATCAGTGAGATACAAATATACTTCCCTACTGTCGTTAATTTTTCTTTGAAGGGGCAATTGATAGCAATGTTAATTTTTAAAGCAATTTCCGATTCAGTTTTAGTCTTAGGTTTTTTGACTAAAATGCCGGTTAGTTTTAGTCATATTTTAGTCATCTTAAGGTTCTTAGTTTTAGTCTAGTTTTAGTCAACTAAATATCATAAGATTTTAGTCGACTAAATCTACATTAATTTTAGTCTACTAAAATCTAGTGGGTTTAGGTAGAGCAATTTAAGAATTTCTCTAAATTTCCAATCTCATTATATACTCCTGGAGTAAACATCTGTTAACCTGTTAATACTTACGGTATTAAGGTTTGAACATGCAATACAGACACCAATTTAACTGTTGTGATATATAACATGTCTTTATTTATCTTAAAATTAGATTAAACCAAGTCTTATAAAGAAACCATAATATTGAGTATTTTCAACAAAGAACCAGTAATTAGATATGAATTGATTATAACAACTTGCATGTGACATTCTTCATTATTTCAAGCAGAAGTGAAACTCTAAAATATTACAATGAAAAACTATATTGGCTGTAATGCCGTAGCACATATTACCTATTATCCATCCATTTAGTATGCAACTGGAACTGAAAGTCCAAAGAGATTAGTTCTGATTGGATCTCTTCTCAAATCGTCTCTCCCTAACATTTTAGCCTAGTTTTAGTTAGTCGACAAAAAAGTCATTATATTTTTGTTATAATTTTAGTCATCATAAGTTAGTTTTTATTTCGTTTTAGTCACTGAAAAGGTGTTGCTGACGGAAACTGTGACGAAAATTAATAGCCGAGGAAATTAACACTGATTGAGAGGTAATTATTTTTCTTTTTTAAGATTAATTAGTATTATTTTACTGAACTTGGAATGTCCTTCTGACTTCTAGTCCCCCTTGTGGCCACACAAGAAAACATTATCAAAAACACTTTTAAAAATCATAGGTATCTAATTTTTAAGAAGTATAAAAACAAAAAATTCCCAGCCCTTCCATGTGCACCTTGCTTTAAAGCTAGTTGTGAATTCAAGAGTGCATTGGCAGTTTGTTTCACTTGTCATTTTTAAGACTCAAAACGGGAACATCCCTGTGATTAAGCAATAATTAAGTTAAAAAAAACTGCTCATAATTGCATGTATATAGTGTTTCTGTTTTTTGTGTGTCATAGGCTGAGTTTTAAAAGCAAAGCGAACAATTATGGCATATTTGCAACTAGCTGCCTCCTAATGACTAGTGTTACAATCTCTCTTTTGAAAGCCAGAATTATTTAGCTGTATCTACCATGACTAGTTTCAGCCAGCGTGTATGCTTCCAGTGATGACAACAGTCAAGGTTTCAGACATGCCTTTGGGCAAAGTGAGCTTTATCAACACATAACTGATGCATGACACATTGGGGTTGATTTACTAACCTTTTAAGCACACCACGAACGTGTATACACCTCTGTAGTGTGTTCCCTCCCAGCATGATCTATGGGAGGAATCGAAACACCTTTGTAGTGTGTACACACCCAGCAGGTGTGTTGTTCAAAGCCCTGCAATGAATTGCAAGGTAATGTGGTGTAAATTAGCTCTATGTTATGTTGCTTGTGTTGATGAATGCAGGAATGTAAATGCATGAGCTAACCATTTTTGTCTAAACTGTGAAGCAGCATTATATATGCATCATGTGCATGATTTTTCCATATATGGCATTAGTGGAAATATGCTTTTAGAGACTTTTTGGTTGATAAATACGTTTTGCTGTGTGAAAATCACACACACCTGGTGTGTGTGTGTGTTTAGGTTAGTAAATCAACCCCATTGTGTCAGAATGATTTGTGACATGTGCTATCATTAAAAAATACCGTGAAAGGGCTGCAGGTATTACTGATGAACTTTATCTATCTCATAAGAATATTATTAAGCTAATATTTATAACATTTTCACTGTAGAACTTCTATACAGTTGGATCAGGGAGAGTAGAGTTGCTGCTAATAAAAAATCAATTAGTCATTTACATTTTCTCACTTTAAAGGGAAAGTAAACTCAGGAGTTAAACCTTAAAATGCATTCAAGTACCTTAACTATAAATAAAAATGTATCTTGTCTGTGTATTACTCAGCTGTAAATCCTCAAATTATCTCTAAACTGGTGCTGACACTGTGCTTCCTTCTGGAGGGTGGCTACTTTTGTTCCCCATGGTCCCTGTATGTGCTGTAAAGTAGCCACCGCCCCAAGCTCACTCCTGTGATGGACTACAATCTCATGTTTAGTTACTTATTTGTATTAAAATTATGGTCTATCACGGGAGTGAGCTTGGAGTGTTGGCTACTTTACAACACACACAGGGACCATAGTGAACCAAAGTACCACCCTCCAGAATGAAGGACAGTATCAGCATAGATTCAGAGATGATTTGAGGATCTACTGCCGAGGGATACACAAATAAGATACATTTGTGTTAACAGTTAAGGTACTTGAATACATTTTAAGATTTAACTCCTGGGTTTAGTGTCATTCTTTGTATAGACCACTTTAGATTTAACAAAACTATGTAATATGACAAACTACCTAATCTATCCAATCAGGCAAGCCTTGTACTACATAGTTATTTGTTGCTACAGAATTATATTGTACAGCCATGCTGTAATGTGGGTGGTGAGCATTGCACTAGAAATGTTACAACTTAAATCTGATTAGTTAATGCTGGACATACCCTTACCTTTCCTCTGATGTGTAAAGTCAAAGCAAACCTATTCAAACCTGGGCAATGTAAAATGTGCAATAGAAACAGGTATCTTTAGTATCTGAAATCTCACATAAAAAGGATCAGTAGATCCATAATTATAGGCAGATGAACTGCATTAAAAGGCAGATGGGAAAATCTTTGCCTCCATCCACCTTGCCTCCAATGCCTCTCCATTGGCCCTTTTTTATGACGGGCATCTTTTATATTCAACAGGGAGACTCACCTGGTGGGAAACAGCAGTACCAGTTTTCATCTGTCTATAGCTGTGGATCTACTGATGGTTTTGAAGTGTAGTTTTAGCTGAAGGCAAACTTCTGATTTTTTATAATAATATGATCAGTGTGAACTGACCATCTTTATGACAGATTTTCTTTAAACCTATGTATCCTTTCCTTGCTAATACAATACAGATAGGGAGGCATGTAATTCAGCTTTAAAGATGCTACAACAAAAATCCTGCAAACAACTTAGGAACTATAAACAAAAGAAAAGCATTACCAAGAAAACAAAACTTTTCATATGGCTATATTAAAGTTCCTAAGGAAAAAAGTGTGTGTATATATATATATATATAAAAAAAAATCAGCCAGAAAAGCAATCTGTTTCAGCGTTTCAGTTAATTAGTAATATGTGTGTGACTTCTGTTTCAGATATGGTCCGTCGTAGCATAGATCACAAGCAGTGAAAAGTCATTGTGGGAAATATCTCACCTGCCCCTTTGAAAAGGGTGCTCCAATAACTCCCACTGATCTCTTAGTCCTTCCACTCATTGTGCCTGTCTGTTCTTGTGTGTGGGTCTGCTTGCTAATATTCTCCTTTTGTACCTTTCTCCTTTCCCTTACGGTGAGGTAAAGAGGTGTAACATCTCCACCCAGGAACAAAAGTTATGCAATGTATTTCATTTGAAAAGCATCTGCTGAGCAATCCTGTATTTGCCTGGTGATGTAGTTGTGAAAAAAACTGGCTGTTACTGGACCATATGTACATACAAATGTGTCATACTAGAAATGATAAACTGAAAGAAAAGTTTACAGAAGCAAAATGGTTAGCAAGGTTAATAAGTTGAATTGCCTATTTAGCATTAATTTTATTATTCACAATAAAATTACTAATTTATAACAGAGAAAACAAGGAGATATTACTTCCCCAAAATGTCAAGCAGTCTGAATGACAGTTGCTGTATGTATCTCTTGCTGTTTGTGTTATCTATTATTTGTTTGACATGCGTGCTTCATTTGCTACCATCATGATACTGTATATATGACATATTTTATAAAATGTTATCAATTTTATTGGTGTGCTTATTATTTATGCTTTAATTAAGCTTAGTGTAAATGGATATAGCTATTGGGATTAGCATACTATGTAGCTGCTTGTTGAGATTCTGTTGGTGTTCTGTTGCCAATTTCCACTATTTGATATAATATATACTTGTGTAAAGGTATATTGATAGAACTGTAGCATTGGTACATGTTTTATTATACCATTTTTATGCTTGACAATTATAACAATTTGTTTTAGCGTCAGTTCGAAACACACACCCTTGGATCAACTGTTTGGAACCCTCAATTTACTGCCTGGTTTAGACACTCGATCTTTCCAGCCGAAAAGCACGTTCGGCTGAAACAAAGGGAAGAAACTGTTTGCCTCAGCCGATGCAAGATCTGGATCAGCCATAACAGTGAGCATGAAAACAAATGGGCAGAGGAGTGGTGACGTTACCACTGGCTCCGCCCATCTGTTTTTATTCGGCCGGGTGCTGTCAAATCTCTAATTTTGTGGCGGCAGTTCGTTGGAAGCAGTTGGGTCCGGCGGGATTTTTTTTATTTCAGCGAGTTGCTGGCGTCGTTCATCGTGATTGATGTAGGATTACATCGTGATTTACCCAAATTTTTAAAATTTTTATTTATCTTATTATTTTTTAATTTTAAGAAATTTATTTTATTACTTTTTACTTTTTTATCACTTTTTATATTTTTAGTTTTTATTTTTATATTTTTATTTTATTAATATTTTATTGTATTGTTCTCAGCTCTGCTCCCTGCTCTCCATCCTGAATTACTTTGCCATGGTCCCAGGTCCACCAGAAGAGCAGGGGACCCAAAAACCATGGCAGAGAGGCAGAGCCAGCTAGAGGTGGGGGCAGACCATGGAGGGGGGGCGGCGGGGGAGGACGGACGAGCAGCTTCTCATGCTCTACATTTAGCTCTGCTTGCCCGAAGCAGGGCTAAATGTAGAAAAAAACGACCCGCCCGACACCCGGAACTGGATGTCCCAGACGTCGGGCGATAGGAATTCCACACCCCTGCTGCCCTGAGGCCGGGCCTTGGTGGCCTTGTGGGAAATTTAGCCCTGGCTGTACGGGCTATTGTGAATAGTCTATACAGCAGCCCTTCGGTTTGGTTGACCTAAAGGCTTCCTGCACCCAAAGGATTAGCTGAATGTTCAGCTAAATTCTTTGGCAGCTTAGTGATTATTCTCAAACACACCCTATGCTGGATCCTTGCCATGTCTCATATGCAGAGGGCCTGAAGTGTTATTGTTAGTGTTAAGAAGGTAATCACTGCCAACAATTAGAGTCAAACCTGCCTTGGAAGCCTGAATTGACTATGCTCAGTATTTACATATTCTAAACAAGCAGTAAAATCACTTCAAAACAAGCCCACATTTACCTCTGTAGATATAGACATTGTAGAGAAAATCCACAAATCTTCTATGTTTTGTATACTTCCCTATACCCTAATAAAGGGGTATCAAACACAATTTCATTGGGGCCCACATCAGCATTATGGTTGCCCTCAAAAGGTTGGTTGTATCTGTAACGCTATATACATGTGCCTACTCTTTATCATATTAAATAACTGCCTCTGCATTTGATTATTACTGGTTTAAGTAATAACTAGATCTGTAAATAGAAGTCTAGGAAAAATAATGGCAATTAGTGTAATAGTGCTGACTCTCAGGTGGCTGTGCAGGTTCTACGGTGGGCTGTGCGCACTCTCAGGTGGGCTATGCATCTATTGTGCAGACTCTCAGGTGGCTGTGAAGGTTCTATGGTGGGCTGTGTGGACTTTCAGGTGGGCTGTGCAGGTTCTATGGTGAGCTGTGTGGACTCTCAGGTGGCTGTGCAGGTTCTATGGTGGACTGTGCGGACTCTCAGGTGGCTGTGCGGGGTCTATACTGGCTGTGTGGACTCTCAGGTGGCTGTGCAGGTTCTGTGGTAGGCTGTGCAGACTCTCAGGTGGCTGTGCGATGTCTATACTGGGCTGTGTGGGGTCTTAGGAGGGCTGTGAGGGGCCCCGTAGGTCTCGGTGGGTGTGCAGGCGGCGTGCATCCACAGTAAGGAGGAGATTTGCTACCAGCAATGTAAACGGGCACTGCAATTTACAGGAAGGCTGCTGGGACTTAGCTGGGGACCTCAGCAGCCTTTCCTGTGAAGCCAAGCGCCGGCTTCGGGTTCAAAATTTAAAGTGATGGTATCAACGCTTAGTTGGGGGCAGAGATGGGGGGGGGTGCAGCAGCTACAGACGAGGTGGGAGAGCCACATAAAATGGCTTGGTGGGCCGGATTCGGCTTAAGGGCCATGTGTGTGACACATGTGCCCTAATAGATTGTAAGCTTTTCCACTTTCTATATCCCTCCTTTATACCCTAGTAGACTGTAAGGTCTTATACCTTCTGTATCCCTCCCTTATACCATAACAGATTATAAGCTCTTCCACCTACCACTACCTCCCTTTGAGAGGCAGGGCCAGTTTTACAAAAAATTCGACCCTGGGAAAAAATTCAATTGGGAACCCCAGTAGTATAACGCATCTTGTAATCAGCATCATAACATTGGTATATTAACCAGAGACAGTTTATCTATAATACGAGAATAAAGTGGTGTGGTTTATAGAATGTGGGTCTCGGTTATCAATGGCATATGTCCCCTCATATTCAGACGCATAACACCTCCTCAGCATGCAATATTACTTGCAGGTGGTTGGGTTCTTTAAGCCAGCTATGGAATGTGAGGCCACAGAGAGAGGCAGAAAAAAAGTCCCTGTCTTGGTGCTTAGTGAGAGAAAGAGCACACTAGAGCCAGTGGTTAGTGGGGAAGAGCCCCAGTGATGGTGGTCAGGGGGAAAAAATGTCCCCACATTGATGATCAGTGGGAAAAAGAATGTCCTGACTTCGATAAACTGTCCCTTATATTGATGTTAATAGTGGAAAACTGTCCTTTCCTGTTTGGGTCAAACAATCTCTTACATTACTGTAATCTGGGGCATTCTGTAATTTGCATTGGTGCCAGTGGGGTGACTACCTTCCTTACACTTGTGTCATATAGGGGGCTTACTGTCCCCTTCATTGGTGTTAGAGAGGAGCATAATGCCCCTTTCATTGGTTATGGGTACACTCTGCATTTTAAAATCTGCCACTTGCTACCACTCTACAGATAGGGGGTCCTCAGGGGGTGGGGGTCATGAGCAGAGCAGTTGCGCCAGTTTGCCCCCCGCCCCTTCCCAATGCTGACTCTGCGGACAGGTTGCACTGATGACAGCAGAGGACACTGATGTGACAGTGATGATATGTTGATTACCACACATCATTGGAGTGAGGTAGTGGCAGGAAATGGCAGTACATCATGGCTGCACTGCTAGGCACTAGATTTGAGGCCACCAATGAGCTGCAGCCTGTGTGCCCCCCACTTTTATCACACACATGCTAAAATCTACATGCAGAGGATTTCTGGGGCAAAAAAATGCAAGTCTCTGTTTTGTATGTCACACAATAGTTACGCAAAGGTTTATGAAATCTGTATTTTCACAAAAATAATAACTAACAATTTTGGTCCAAATAAAACCTTATTGCTGAGTATTTGAATAAAGGATGAAAAGAAGAAATGATCAAAAGAAGATGAAACTGAGTCAAGTTAATAAATAGCAAATATATCTAGTTATCTAGTTTGAAAATGGTGGATGCATGTGAAGCAGCAGAAAACTACAGTGGCCAAAATTGTTAATACATTAAAAACCTTTAGGCTCAATTCACATGTAGGAGCAGTCTCACAAGTAGCTTCGGAGACTGAACAGTGCTTATGTGCACCCACAGGCATTAACATGTAGTCCGTCATACAGCGATTATCTGTCTACCTTACCTCTAGCGTGATGTGGTGATACTTAAGATGTGTTAAATAACAGGTGTTTAAGTACAACAGTGTGTCATAACCATGTTTATGTATAAGTAAGTGTCTGTGTGTGTTTGTGGGGAAGTAAATGTTTTTTATTATCTTAATATATTTTTGCTAAAAATTTATGTGCCAGTATATAAAGTAATGGCTGCTGCACCAGGAATCTGATAGGTCTGACATGCTCAGAACCGAATGAGAAGCAGTATACCGTTAAAAAGGTGGGATCCGATTGTAAACCGATTGCCATATTTGCAGTCTCTGGCATTTTTCTTCCTCTGGATCTACAGAGCAGTGATTCCTAAAACAGATAGAAGGAGCCTGCCAGAGTGGGGAATAAGGTATGGCACTACAGAGGATGACAGAGTGCCCTACAAAAACAAGAAGTATTCTGCACTTCCCTATATCAGAGGGGAGACAATGATGAGTCTCTTTAAAGAGCCACTTTAGATGTAACAGAGGTTTGAAACTATAGCTAGTGAGTGTATTTTCTGCCTATAACAGCCCATTCCCATAATGCGAGCAGGCCTATGGGTACTTGGTTGCTTCCAGCTCCTGTTAAACAATGCTATAGTTTCTGGCTTGGTGGCACGAGGGACTGGGTGAAGGTAACAGAATAGAGTGGTCTTCTGGAGTAGCAGGCATGAGCCTGAA